CACAGAAATTCACTCTCAAATTCACACTCAACAGAATCTTACTTAATCAAATAATTAAGTAAGGGAGTTTGACCCTCTTGACCCTCGTAATCTATTATTCCTTGTTGTATCTTGTGACCCGTATGGCCCTTATGACCTTAAAGGTCCCTGGGGGCCGCAGGAGCACAAAAATCACCTCCGTTACCCCTCCTTGTAACATGATAGTACATTTCGATACTAGGGCGTGGAGAACTTGGCGAATATGAGGTTACAGAACGAGCCGAAGGCGAGTTCTGTAATCATATTCGCCAGAAAAGTTCTTCACTTCCGTGTATCGAATAATATTTTTTGACACGAAGTGCGTGGGCGGTGTTTCACGGACGCTGAGCGAAGCGAAGCGTTCGTGAAACAGCGCCTCACGCACTGAGTGTTAAAAAATAGACTTAATCAAATAATCAAGTAAGGGAGTCGTGAATCTGTGGAAACTTTTTCAACATGATTGTTGCTGTTGAAAAGTCCCTTTAAAGTGTAAGAGAGCTACTCCCCAGATTATCCGCCGTTACTCCGTCTAGTAACATGTAATAATACGTTCACCGGAAACTTTTTCAACATCATTGTTGCTGTTGAAAAGTCCCTTTAAAGTGTAAGAGAGCTACACTTTATCGATTGAAATTTTACTCTGTAGGCTTGTTTCCACTTTCTGTGGAGGACAGATGTAAATAATAAAAACGCAGATGTAAATAAAACAGGTTCCCGGATTGTTTTCCCCCCAAAAAAAATTCCCCGGAAAAAAATTCCCCCGGAAAAAATTCCCCCCGGAATAAATTTCCCCGGAATCATTTCCCTCGGAATGATTTCCCCTTACCACTGAACGTGGAAGTTGCACATAAACGTATTACCAATATCAATGCAATTTATGACGTCTCTCAATCTTTCAAACCCATATCAGAATTCAACATTTTCAAAACAATTTTTTTCCAAATTTCAGAACCAACTCTCATGCGTACATAATCAGTACAATACGATAAACATTCACAATCTATCATAAATCACTTAATTACTATCATTTATCAATCAAGATTATCAAAATAAATCCCCAAAAAGATTCGAATCAATCTCTCGTTCCAATAAACAATCAATTATCATAATAAATTATTTTTGTCTTACAGAGTCCAATTTCTCTAATACACTTAATGCTAATCAATCTCGTACCCCCAAACTTAAATCAAGAGAAACAATTAACTCACTTGTTGCCATCACAAAACCTCAAGGCATACTGAATACTCTCACTCACGTAAATACATCAAACTCACGGGATTCGATCGACCCTTCCCCCAATAATTTAACTTCTATTATAGCAAGATTTACTTGTACGTGTATATTTTTGTTTTAAAATAAACGGAGTGGGTATGTGTGTTCGTATCTTCAAGAAGACAACAACCTAATTGCTCCAAAATGACAATTTCTTCTACATCTAGTATTCCATTAATTTCCAACGATGAAATAAATTCATTCATTCATTTTTCATGTCCAGAAAAACAAAATTCAGGGGAAATTATCAGGGGAAAAAAATCTGGGGAAATAGTTAAACGGGGACATTTTTTCGACGGGAAAAATTTTCCGGGGAAATAATTTCCGGGAAATTTTTTCCGGGGGAAAACAATCCGATCACCAATAAAACATAATAGTTGTAAATTATGAAATTCATGAACTTGTAATTAAAATTTATGGATGATTCATTTTTTCCATAATTTACAACTATTATGTTTTGTTTACATCTGCTTTCTTATTATTTACATCTGTCCTCCACGGAAAGTGGAGACAAGCCTACAGGGTAAAATTTCAATCGATATTTACATTTTTTACATTTTTACATTTTTACATTTTTACATTGAGCCTTTTATACCTGTTCTTCCAATCTCGCCCCCATGACCCCCTGACCATATCGTAGAGTCCAAAGCTGCACAATCGTTTACCAAAATTCTGAACCAATCTACATTTGCATTCTATGAAATTTGTTTCAGAACTAAATCCACAAAAGCTCCCGCCGACGAATTCCTCTTCCAATTGGTCAAATGTAATCGAAACGATCGTAGCAAGTCCATACGGACTTGCACCCCCTGGATCCCCTCTCCTTACTCCCCTGGATTGTCATTCCTCGGACACACTTTCAGGAAAAGCAACAATCCGGGTGGCCGAAGACACACGTGTGCAACTTTAATTAGGGGAGGTTGGGGTAAAATAGACACTTCAGACTTTTTTAAAATTATTCATAACTCAGAAACAAATTTATCAATTGAGCTCAGTTTAGGCTCGTCTCAAAGGGAAAAAAATGTTCTTTGTATTGAAACAAAAATTATTGAATTTCATCAACATTTCAAACCCTCATTAACATTTAAAAAACAATCAAAAGTGTCCGTTTCAGCCCAACTAGGGGAGCTACACTTAATTGCAATTTATGGATGATTCTTTTTTTTTCATAAATTACAACTGTTGTTTTTTTTACATGTTTTCTCATTATTTACAATTGTGCTGCACAGAAAGTCCTCCAAATAAGTCACGACCCCTTGGACATCAGGGAAACACTTCACTTAACACCATCAACTCCGAAATTTAACTATTGGTTAAGAAATTTTTTTTTTTTAAATCACCATTATCTCCACACTCTTTCCATTAAACTATCAAGTCTTAGGTATTCATTAATTTATTACCAAGTTTAATTTATGAATTAATTTTAATATACTAATTAATTATAATATAATATAGGACGTTGAAAAACACTCCATATCCACCGTATATTAAACGTACTCTCAAGCGTCAGTTAAGTGTATGGGTCAGATGAGTGCGCAGGCCTGAGAGTCAGATAAGTCTAAGACGAGAATAAGGATCGAATGAGTCTGAGGGTCAGATCGATTCTGAGGGTCAGGTGACCCTTTTAGGTTCACCTGGGTTAACCTAGAGCGAGGTTATCTGACTTTTAGATTGAACTGATCCTTAAACTCAACAACCTTTTACTCATCTGACCTTTAGATTCGCCTGACCCTTCGTACTCTTTTGACTCATACTCTTTTGACCCTTAGGCTCAACTGACTCGTAGATTCGCGTGATCCTACACACTCAACTGACTCTTAAATCCACCTGACCCTTTGTAGTTGTTTGACGCTTAGACTCAACAGACCCTCAAATTCGCATGATCCTTCGGGCTCAACTAATCCTTAGACCCATCTGAGCCTTAAACTCAACTATCGCTGAGACGCATCTAACCTTTAAACTCAACTCAGACTTCTACTTATCTGACCCATACTCAACTGACCCTTATATTCACTTGACCCTTCGTACCCTTTTGACCTTCAGATTCGTGTGATTCTTCGGACTCGGCTGACCCTTATACCCATCTAGCCCTATGCTGTAGGTTTTACGCTTACTGATAAAAAAAAACCCATATGGCCCTCATACTCATCTGATTCTTACCATCTGACCCTTAGATTCGCGTGATCCTTTAGACTCAACTAACTCTTCCACTTATCGGATCTTTACATTCACTGACTTTTATATGAAGGGTCCGATCCTTAGACGCCTTAGATCTATATGGACTTTAATTCCCTCTCATCTCCTCTCCCTGCTCCTTTCCTCTTAATTTCCTGTATTACTCCATTGCCTACTTTCTTTCTGTTTTTTCCTATTTTTCTTCTTATTAGTTGCTTATATAAACCCGAAAAAATACAACTCGCCACAAGCAACTGTACAGCTCAGAAGCATACCGAGATATCCTGCGATCACTGAGCTTGAGCAGTAGCGAGTAAAACCAGAAAAAGGATGGATGACCGAAAGGGAACACTACACGGCAGAACTACAAGCAGGGATATCTCGAGAACCAATGGACCGATCCGTTTTTTTCTTTTTTTCCCATTTTTGTTTTACCGAGTTGATAATATTTATATTTTTGCCATTCTTCCACCGATTAATTTATGCAAGATTTAACCAAGTAATCGATGTTAGAATGGAACTAGTAGTGTGAAGAGGGCAGGGGGGAAGAAGGAAGGAAAGAATGTACGGTGGAGGAATGTTGGGGATACGTTTAGTTTCAACCTAATTTCAACGTACAATCTGGCAAAAATGGAAAAAGGAGACGGTATTTACGTCGGAAGTAGGTTGAATCAGTGCATTTGAGCCTGTACACTGGACAACGTACTTTCAACGTCCTAAACCCACCAGTGGAACGTTTTTTTTTTACGGCCTCGGAGTCCCTTTGCGGGTCTCATTCGGCATGCCGGTACAGGCGGTTCCTCTATTAGCAACCTCCCGCTCGCCGGAGCCTTCCGTTGAAAAATTCGGTTCCACGGGGAATCGAACTCACAACCTTTCGCACACTAGACTTGCGTCTAATCCACTCGGCCACCGACGTCGGTCACCAGTGGAACTTGAAACTACGTTGGGAGACCCGGTAAAATTTTGACTCGGGTCGTTAATCGTTTGAACGATTACACAAAAATGACCATTTTAATCATAATTTTTGACGTGGATACGTCTATGTTTTCGTTTTCAGGGGCATTTTGTGCATAGGTAGATATTTACTAACGCCATCTGTTGGCGTATAGGGAAACTAAGTCGGTAAGTACGGAATTCACTTTACCGACTGTCATTAAACGTGGACTTGGGTGGAAACGACGTTTATAGTTCGTTTCACGTGGTGATGAATAGGACAGAGATACAGTAGAACTGGCGAAAGAGTTCCACTGGGAATTGTAGGTTATGCATCGAGCTCTCATTGTTCCATACTCCTCTCAGTGGAACAATCTCGCCGGTCCTACTGTGCATGTAAATAAACATTCTCACGCAGTTCTCACACATTAAAAAGTGTTCCCTTAAGACTGTTTCATCTTCTAATATCCCGAGTATCTACGTAACATAGACGTATCCACGCAAAACTTACGGCTGTATCAGCGATACATCCAACCAGAATTTTTAGTTGTTCCCCTTTGAACCGCGTCGAATGACTACAAATTGATGAATTAATCTACCCCATTTTGAACATATCCTGCAGTTCCGGTATCATTGGATCCCTATTGGCGAACCAATCGGGTGAGGCAGATCGCTGCGCATGGTAGTTGAATATTTTCTCCTTGGCTCTCTCAACATCAAACTTGCAAGCCCTCAAAAACCTCTGAATCGTGAAATCATCTACAAACCATGAGAACCAATGAGGACTCTGTGGAGATTCATTTTCAGGGGCTTGAATAAAGCAGTAAAGAAATACGACATTCTATTCACCTGTTGGAGCACGGAGATTCTTATGCGTTTCAATCCACTCTCGCACCTCTTGAACTTTCGCGGGTCCATCCTCCCGTTCATTCAAAACACTCGCCGCATACTGTCTTTGTTTATCCGTCAGTTGATAGCAATTTATATGATTTGGATACGAACTCATCATTTCGTAAAATAATGTCAGAAATATGAAAAATCTCTACCTCTGAAAAATATGAAGAGATAAATCCATCAGGAAGTGATAGAACAACTTTCGTCACTATATTCATTCCATCATTGGAACAATGAGTGATTTGGAAAGTGATGATCAAGAAATCCTTATTTCTTTGCTTATATCCCTCCTATCCCAAACAATCACTGAAGTGACAAATTTAACGCTTGAAATTTACTTTTTCCTAAAAATCTAGTTAATGATTTCAATATCTCAATAACGAATGGTAGTAAGAGAAAGTATCGAAAGACTTTATTCGCGTGGAGCTTTCACCTTGATGAGAAAAAGTAATACAATCTTGTTCGCATAAAATTACTCCCCTGAATAATCACTAAATTACGAAAAATATTATATTTTACTTGAGTCCTTTGATCGCTTTACCCCTGAACTACAACAGTTGGAGGCTTCTGCTATCAATTGCAGTGAAGTTCAACCAAATTACAGTCATGACGTTTGCAGCAGCACAATGTCGCTTTTGCTGGTCAACGTACACTGATTACACTACGTATATTTCCCTCGCGCACATATCCCATCATCATTACTCCTTACGAAATGCAGATTAGATTATTCTTGTAATTTAATTGATTGCGATGAAGAGTGCATAATATCTTTTCCAACTTCATTAGACTAATTTTTATTGATAGATGATGACCTCGAGCGTATGACCCCAGCGATTATTGTTAATCCATCTTAATTATTGAATCAATTATGATCAAATTTGTGGGAATCGATTGAGAGATTGAAACGGGCGACTCTCGCGATGACGTATTAATGCGAACTACTGTCAGCTGTCAGTACATACATTCGCTAAAATCCAGTGCCCCGTGGATGAGTTGATTGCAGTCGAGAGATAGCCATAGCATTCATTTAGTTCGACTGGTGGTAAATTGGGAATTTATAATGTTGATATGTGTTTAAAAGCATTTGAACTCATTAAACGTGGCTAAATCAATGAGCCTTCTACCACCCGAAGAAGAGTTGAATTGTAATACATTTCGTAATTAGGCTGAAAAAACTTTTTTGGCGAATATGAGTTTGCAGCAAAGGGCTACAATCATATCGACAGCTTAGTAACAGAGTCACGTAGAGCCACCTAAAGTGGTGTATCTCTAATAAAATGCCCTACTTATGCTCGGTATTGGAAAAATCATTAAAATAATCATTTTCAATTTTTTTGGAACAGATCAACGTATCTCCAATTACACGGCCCGATAAAATATGCGAGGATTGGGGTCGGAGGATGAAATTTATGCCACTCGATAGATTTTTCGACGCAGAATCCGAATCTGTTTGTTAAAATGCGCTTAAACGTATGGGGATTGAGAAAAAAAATGTTAAAGTCGGGAAAATGAGCGAAATCGATCAAGTTCAAAAAATAAAAAGTCAATGAATTTTCCTTCTATTGAGCCCGGCAAAAAACTGGAGGTTCGGATTCTTAGAAGTATGGAGTGGAGAAGAGTATATGTGCATAAATTTCCACTCCATATCTCTGAGAATCCCGAACCTCCTGTTTTTTCCCGGACTCAATAGAAGGAAAATTCATCGACTTTTTATTTTTTTAACTTGATCGATTTCGCTCATTTTTCCGACTTGCTATGTGTAGAATAGTCCGAAACGTAAAAATACGAAGTTTAGCGACCATGTCTGTACACGGAGAAAAAAACACATCGTAATTTTGTGAGAATCCTTCCAAAAATTAGTGTGCTGTTCACCAACGCTGGGACATAACAGGGAGTCATCGGAGAATTCGAATGTGGCACACTAATTTTTACGGGAATCCCCCGAAAAAGTGGCCGGAGTCTCACCAAAAATTAGGGTGCCACTTATGAATTTTTCGACGACCCCATGTTATGTCCCGGCATTAGGGGACAGCACACTAATTTTTGGAAGATTTTTTTCTCAGTGTATGTAACCACGTCCACCGCATCCTTACCGGTGGTCAATTGTTAGAAAATTGAGTAATTAAGTGGCTAAAGTGATTCCAAAAAATCTGAAATTTTGTAAGATTATAGGTCTTAATAAGGACTAACTCTGTGCAAAATTTCAGCTCAATCGATCTAATAGTTTTGAAGAAAAAGCGATTCGTTTTTAAATCGTTTTCCGCAAATATCTTCACAACTAGTGGATCGATTTCGATTTTTCTTTTTTCAAAACATTCGTTTCGATACTTTTTGTCCAAACCAATCAGAACATATATACCAGTACATACAACGTTTTCAAGATATTCATGTTTTTCCGTTTTTTCATAGAAACACTTTGTAAACACTCTAGCTTGTGCAAAAATGAAAACATCAACTTGAAATTTGGACATTGGAATTTTGATAGCACCCATGGAGGTGGCAGTAACCATCTGAAATTTTTGCCGCTAGTTAGTGTTGTGAAGCTATAAACTTTTGTCAATATTTCAGACCATCCGGAAGCCCACCGTCAATGTATTGATGGCAAAAAAAAATAAAACATCGCTCAGTGACATGCTCACGGTCACATAGCGCGCTGCCATATGCTCGCTGTCCCCTGCTTGTTTTCTTTATATTACCGCAAAAATCAACAAAAATTGGTTGGTACCTAAACCTCCGCAACCAAATAAACGTGAAGGGGGAAGTCGGAGTTTCCATTCCCTGCTATATACAGAGGGACTGCCGGTGGTTCAGATTTTGCAACGTCGGCTCGGCAAGAAAATTTCACTGACGATGTGATCTCACAATGTGCGCCGCGCCGAATTTCAGGCTCGGCTCTCAGAAAAACTCACTTTTCTAATGTTTTATCAATTATGGCACAAAGAAAATGTGCTAAGGGACACCAACTAGATTGAAAAGAGAATTCCTGGAGTTTCAAAAATTTTCGGATATTAGATTGATTTTTATCTTGATTTTTGTTTCACGCGCGGCGCAGCGCTCATACACGGACAGAAAAATTCAATGAAAATTACCAGAAAAAAAACGTAAAAATTACGTTTCGAAACGTAATCTGCGAGCGAAGTATAATTCAATACAAAGTGTGAGTCGGAACTGAAATTGTATGAATCGCCACGTAAATTCTACGATTTGTTCCGTAAAAATTAACCAGCCGTCTGATGACTCACCACTGTGGGGACAACAAATCGTTCCGTAATTTTTCCCCAACGATTGAGAAATTTTACGGAACGGAACGTAGAAATAACTCACTAGCTTCATAAAAATTGTTGAACGTTTAAGAATTTTTGATTTTGGAGGCATAATAAATCGGCAAGTTTCTGTAAGATTTTACTTCTTCGGGGAAAATTACGTGGCAATTTCGTACTTTGTTCGGTTATGAACCTGAAAATTCACTGAACGTTTCAGATTTCTTCTTTTCCATTCTTATAAAAATTGCCGGAAAACGATTCCCCCTTGCGGATTACGTGAATTGTTCTGTAATTTTTACTGAATATTTCTCTCCGTGTAGTGCGACCAACGAAAGGTTAAGTTATATCCCAAAACAATCGGACCCAAAAGTTAAACCCTATGGATTTTCTCAAAAAATTTTAAATAACTTAATTTATTGCATTCTCATAAGTTATTGAGTTTTTCTATTCTCATTATGTGCTGTTGATACAGACAACAATAACTGTTTGAATCAAATAAGAAATTATTTGTTAATGAATTTTTTGTCATTCCGGCCGTAAGGCAGCGTTTCACGGACGCTGCGCTTCGCTCCGCGTCCGTGAATCTCTGCCTACGGCCGGCATGACAAAAAATATTGTTCGTCATACGGCCAAATAACGAAATATACTATTTTAAATCAAATAAGGAATACTTTCACGAAATTTCCATTTTTGCTTCCGAATGGAAGGTTTGCAATCCTTCGATTTTCACATTTTCTAATTTTCATTGGAACTGATGTAGAATGGTCTCAAACGTAAAAATACGAAGTTTGATAACCATGTCTGTATGCCCCCCTCCCCTTCACCACTTTTAGGAAACTAAGTTTTAGAAAATCGAGTAATAAATTGACTAAAAAAATGTCAAAAAATCTAAAATTTTGTCAGAGTATAGGTCCCAACTAGGACTAACTCTGTGCACAAGATCAGCTTGATCGGTCCGAGAGTTCCTGGGAAAAAGCGATTTGTTTTTAAATCGTTTTTCGCGAATATCTCCAAAACTAGTGGACCGATTCCATATTTTTTTTCAAAATGTTCGTCCTAATGTCTCCTATCTAGATCAATGAAAACCTATATACCCGCTCCTGCAAAGTTTTCGAGATATTTTCACTTTTCTGTTCTTTTGACAAAATCCTTGTACGCTCTCTAGCTTTCGCAAAAATTGAGATATCTACTTGAAATTTGAAGAGAACCTTCCTCTTATGATAACAACGGTTCGTATTTCAGTTGGGCTCAATCGGACTAGTAGTTTTGGAGATATTTGATGTTTTATGGAAATCTATTATATGCAATATCTACAAAACTACGCAACCGATTTCACTTTTTTTTTCAAAATATTCGTCTCGACGTCCTCTATCTGGATCAACGGGAACATACATAGCCGTTTCATAGAGTTCCTGAGATATTCTTGATTTTCTGTTTTTTCGATAAAATCCTTGTACGCTCTCTAGCCTTCGTAAAAATTGAGATATCAACTTGAAATTTGAAGAGCACCTTCCTCTTATGATAACAATGGTACGTATTTCAGATAGGCTCAATCGGACTAGTAGTTTTGGAGATATTTGACTTTTTCTGAAAATCTATTATATGCAATATCTCCAAAACTATCCAACCGATTTCACTTTTTTTTCAAAATATTCATCTCGACGTCCTCTATCTAGATCAATCAGAACATATATAGCCGTTTCATAGAGTTCCCGAGAATAACGGAAAACTGGCGAAACTCCGCGAATGTTCTAAAAAATTTAGTGATGCCGTCGATAATAGACGATAAATAATTTCGAGAGATCATCAGAAGCTAAAAAAACATCGAAAGGTCTGAAATCATCAAAATTACGAAATATATTGAACTGGTGAATCTGGTCACGATTTTGAGAGGACTTATCATGCATGGGTCCTGACTTTTTTGTTTTTGGTTCCGAACGGGAAGCATTGCAAGCGACCGATTTTCACATTCTCTAATTTTGATTGGAAACGATGTAGAATGGTCTGAACCGTAAAAATACGAAGTTTGGGCACCATGTCTGTATGTGAACACCTCCAGGGCCAGATGTCCTTTTTGAAAACTGAAAGAATAGTGGGGTGAAATAATTCCAAAAAATCTGAAATTTTGCAAGATTATAGGTCTTCCTAAGGACTAACTCTGTGCAAGATTTCAGCTCGATCGGTCCGACCGTTTTTGAGAAAAAGCAATTTGGTTGTGAATCGTTTTTCGCGAATCAGTCCAAAATTACTGGACCAATTTCAATTTGTCTTCTTTCAAAATACAAGTCTCAATGTCCTCTATCTAGATCATCCAAAATATATATAGCCGTCCATACTAAGTTTTCGAGATATTCCCGATTTTCTGTTTTTTCATGAAAAACCTTGTACGCACTCTAGCCTTAGCAAAAATTGGAATATCAACTTGAGATTTGAACAAAATCTTCCCCTTGTAATAGGGAAGACTGGTATTGAAGATAGGCTTAATCGGTCCAGTAGTTTCGGAGATATTCAACTTTTCCTGAAAACCTATTATGGGCTATGTCTCAAAAACTACGCAATCGATTTCAATGTGTCTTTTTTTTCAAAATACTCGTCCCAGTGTCCTCTATCTAGATCAATCAAAACGTATACGCGCTCTAG